GGGCACATTCCTCCCCAGGGGAGGGGACAGGCTGTCCTGCATTTTGTGCCTGGTTCACTTTGGCAATTGCTTTACCCAGGTTTCATCACACTCCCCTATAAATAACTCCTAAAAACACTTCTGCAGGTGATAATTAATTGGAGAGTTGCATGGCCACTCCAGCTAAAAGTACCTGGCTCGCTAGTGGTGGCTCCCAGCATCCTCGAGGCAATGCTGGGGCCCAGAGCCAGCCATCACAGGCAGGAGGCATCACATGTTGCAGGAAGGGACATCTCCAGTGCCAAGCCCCAGGCTGCCGGGTAGAGTTCACCCACTGGGATGCTGCAGGGAGCAGAGCCTGCTCTGGGATAGCTCTGGAGGATGATGAGGGGCCAGGGTGTGTCGTGGGGGTACCTCAACTGCTTCCCACAGGGACCATGGCGAGCTGCGTGGTGCCACCCGTACCAGCATTACCCCTGCACTGCTCCCCAGGCTTGCAGGGACATGGGCAGAGCTGTGGACCGTCACAGTCATCAGGTCTGCAGCCCCAAAGCAGCATTGTTTGCAGATGCATGTGGTTTGGGGATTTTTGGGGGGTTGTTCTTTTTTTTTTTTAAATGAGGCTGGTGCTGCTCCTGGCAGGTCAGCATCCCTTAGCCACACTCCTTGGGGAAGTGGGCATGCACACCACATTTGCTTATCTTGATCTTTTGGTGCTTTCCCATGGTGGGACCCATGCATCGGGGAGGTGGAGGAGCCCGAAAGCTGCCCAAAGCTCCCGTGGCAGTGGAAAAACCTCGCCATTGCCCTTGGGGAGTGGAGGGCTGGCGTGAGGCTGCAGAAACCTTGTGGCTGCAGAAAAATGCCAGCAATTCCTGTCATTTCCTGTGGTCCGGCCGGTGGGAAGCAGCGAGAGATGCCGACTGCACCCTCCCACCAGAGCCAGGGCTGCTGTGTCCCCCAGGACACTCCCATCCCAAAGCCAAAGAGGCTCTCACCCATGTTTTGCAGCCGGGGTGGGATGAGGGTCACCAGAAGAGCCAGGAGCAGCACTGGCTTGCACTGCTTTTTTTTCCCCAGCCTTACTGTTGCAAGTCTGGATATTAAAATCCAGGCAAAAATAAAATAAACACTAAAAAAGTCCCTGGGTGGGAGTGGAAAGCAACAGCTCTCCTCTCCTTTTGCAGCTCCGAAGCAGTGCTATGTGAAGAGCTCAGTGATGCTGAGAGGCTGCTGGAGGGGGGGAGGTGTTTGTGCTTCCTTTCTCCAAGGGCAGCAAAGGGATTTTGGCTCCTGTCTTTTGGCAGGTGTTTAAAAACAAAGATTTGGAGGGTTTGCTGGAAAAGCTCAGGCTGCAGTGCCTGGAGCCCTGGGGTGACGTGGACCCTGCACAGCTCAGGGAGAGGAGCGATGGCTGGCCCTGCCTCAGGTTCCCCTTTTGGGAAGTGACCCAGTCTCAGCTCTGTTGCTTAGAAATGCATCGTGGCAATTTCTCCTTCTCCCAGTTAAGGGAAGCAGGAACTTGGGCTCTCTGCCCTGCTGAAGGGGCAGCACAGCTCTATACAGTACCTGATTAAGGGGTGATAAGAGAGTACAGCACCCCCAGAGTAACTCTTCCCTTGAGAAGGGTCGGGAAGGCTGTGCTGCGGTGATACTGCAGCCCCTCCAGCTCCCTCCTCTGCACTGAAGCAGCTTGTCCCACACAGCATGGCCCGTAATTCACCCTGAAAATGATCCCTCTGTAGCAGGGTCACTATCACTGGAGCACAGATAGATAAACAAGTCACTATCAACTTCCACCGACCCACCTGGGCTGGCTTGGTGGAGAAGGACGGCCTTTTCCTTGCTCCCTCCTTTTAGTGATATCGTAGTGTCCTCTGCTGGGCACAGCTGAAACTGGACATGACACGATTGTCCAGTCCCAGCCCCACATGTCCCCTACGGCCCCTCTCCTCCTTATTTTTCCAGTAAGCCAAGGGAAAATAAAGAACAGTACAAACTAGTTGAGGCTAAGGAGAGCAAAGGGAAAAGGAGAGGAAGAGTATACCCTGTTTCTGCTGCTGTTTCACTTCAGCTTTGTCAGCGATCTATCCAAAATGAAAGCCATGGGATGGGAATTTTGCATCCTCCTCCCTTTCTCTTAGCTCCTTTCCTCCACTTACACAAGAGATTTTGCACTGAAAAAAACCCCACCAAAACCCTGAACATCTGCAATTGGATTTTTTTTTTTAAATTCTGTTCATCTGATCTGAAATTAAGGGGGGTTTCTCTTGTCCTTGCAGAGAAAGTCACTGGATCGATCCAGAGCCTGTTTGCAGCAGGGTACTCAGCCAACATCTCCATAAGGACATTTTAAAGTGCTTTTTGCATCAGACAGCTGCTGGAAGCCAGTGCTGTGCTCAGAGATGACTGAAAACACTGTGGTTGATAGGGTGATGGGCACTGCGAGGTCTCGCTGGGTCTCGTTGCCAGAAGCTCTGCGTACCATTGCACAGATGCACTGCTGTCACCTGGCTCAGGCCGGGACCATGGGGACAGCTAGAGCTGTCACTTCAGGAATGTGTGGAGCTGAAAAAGCTGAATTTTGAAAGCAGGTCAGCTCTCATGCACCATGAGGACTCCCTCTACATGTTTCAAGGAAGAAGTTTCCATCTGTCAGGGCAGAAGGCAGGGAGGGAAAGGCAGAGGACGAAAGGCAACAGTCGGCATCAGTCCTGGACAGGTTGCAGGTTGCATGGGTGCCCATGAGATTTGGGCACTGCAATGGGGACAGGCTGAGGAGTAGAGGGACCGTCTTCTTGAACTTAGCAGCTTGAAGTAAAGTACTTGCTTTTTCAAACAGCAATAGAAAATAACAGCAGCATGTACTTAGCAGGACGCCTGTGCTGCCATGATGTACCCGGATGCCCCAGCCTGTTTTGAGCCCTGAATATTAACTTATGTTTAAGGTCTTTTCTGACTTTTTTTATACATAGTAGTGGGGACTGTGGCAGCTTCGGGAGGCAACCTCTCAGCAATAACCTAGTCACCAAGCAGTGAGACAGTAATGCTGCGAACTGGCTTTTGTGCATTGAGGTGGCTTTCATGCCATGGGCATTGAATCTTTCCCTTCTCCAGCTCGCTCTCCATGATCGAACAAGTATCCAGCCCCATATCTCTCAAGTCAGAAAACACAAGAGCCATTATTGTTAATATTGGGGATTTATTTATAGGGCTGGGGTTTGGGTCTTTACCTGAACATCACTTACAAAATCAGTAGAGTTTTATAAACAATGCTTACAAAGGTCTCATCGCCTAACAGGTAAGCTCCAGATACAGCACTCTGCCTGATGGGGAACTTGGGTGAAACACCAGTGGCTTTACAACTATTTGCCTGCCAAAACCTTAATTGAGTTCGGGGTATTGTAAACACACACAAATCTCATTTAAGATGTGCGTCTAGCTTGGCTCATGTGACATGTATTGTCAGTGTATAACATTTGCCTCTTCTATAAAAACAGCTATACAAAGGTTTCAAAGTGCTTGATAAACCTGACAGTCTTATACTAGAGCAAATGGTTCTCCTAAAGCCCTTGAAACAAAGTCTTACGAAATCCCTATATATCTCCACTGCATATAGAGGTTAAAAAAAAATGTCACCATGAGTCCTCTGTACACCAAGACGTGGAAGCCAGGACTTCACACTAGTGTCTTCCCAAGTGACTGAAGCACTCCTATACAAATTATTTTTAATAACCAATTCTTAATTAAAGGCAAAAATTATATCAGTGAAACAACCCCTCCCATGGTGCGAGTTTAAAGGAACACTATTATTTCTTGACTGAAAGTCAGCAATTACTATTTTAGTGAAATCTGAGGTGTTCTCTGATCCTTCTGATTTGGAGCAGAGGCTTTTTCTCCTACCACTGGTTTAATCTCTAGTGGGACTTTGATTTGATTGGCTTTCTTGTTCTTCCCTTCTTACAGCAGCACCTGCGGCAGCAGAACAGGCAGCACTTCAGAGAAATGAAGAGGGAGAGGAGCACCACAGCGAGGAGGAAGGCGATGACATCCAGGGAGTGGTACTGGATCCAGTTCAAGTCATGAGCAGCAGGTCGCAGGTGTGGGGCCCCTTTGTGTCTCATTACAAACTCCACCCAGTGCACAGCCAGGTCCAGGGGGGGGATGGGTCTGTCAAGGTGAAGGTCAGAGAGACGCTTGATGTTCTCTTTGTACCTGCCAAGAAAAGACATTTGGTGTTTTCAATGACTTGTGGTGCTGAGACTGAGTCCCCAGAAAACACGGATGCAGTGTCAGTTGTCTGATGGCCCACTGGGGGCTTCTCAGGTAGTGTTTCCCCAACATCACCACCCCATGCGATGGATAATGGCAAAGTTATGGGCCCAGAAAAGGGCTGTTCTCCGTGACAAAAAAAGAGGGAAAGGTATTAGAAGAAAAAGAAAAAGCTTAGTTTGAGCTGTCAGCAAAATGTCTGGGGTGAAGGTATCTGGCTGAAATGTGAGACTGGGTGTAGAAAAGCTGTCCAGCTGAAGATCAAGGTGCTTTATTATTACTGTTGTTATTATTATTGCTATAAGAACAGTGGTTAGGAAATAATGGTAGTAAGGTGCGGTGTTTAAGAAACATGATGGGGAAGAGGATGCCAAGGACTGAGAGGCCCTAGTGACAACAGAGAATGCTCCCCTTTGCTGGGATGCCTTAAAACACCTTGGGCATGTTGACTACAAGACTATGATGTCTAGCATGGTTCCCTGTACCACCTCAACCTATCCATGCATATTCCTCCCACTCTGTGCTGGAATTGTCCAGCATTGCTGACCCAAGCAGCAGCTGACTGTGCTCATACAGTCCCTTATGAGCACTAAGAGGGGAAAAATGACTGAGAAAACTGGTCTGTAAAATAAATGAGTGATAATATCTATGTTTAGTAAACCCTGCCAGCTGGGAGGCAATGCTTCCTGATGCAGTACAGCCTCTGGACTATACCAAGGCGCTGCCACTTGTCTCCTTCCTCCTGCTGCTGTGCAGACAGCATCTCTGGGCAACCCTCATGCAAAGAAAATCGGCCAGGCAGCTGACACTTTCACCCTTTTCAGGCTTCTCACAGACTCATGCTACCACTGATTTGGGGGGAAAAAAGCAGTTTGCCACATATCCCTTCACCGATTGCTTTTTCTACCATATTGTGTCAAAGCCTTTGACATCGCTGTGTGGTAAATTTGGCTTTAAGCAGATGACATCTTTTGTTAACTTGATTTCTTCCACTGCACTTACACCCCATCCCCTCTGATACCTGCATCCTCTCATATCTGCCAGTTCTCGTCACCTAATGATTATAATCCCAGGAGGTGAGAAGGATGGTGCTGTTACAGGGACAGGATGAGGTTAACCCAGGGCAAGCAATGATGTAACTTTGATATAAGAAGGCATAAAAGAACAGATTAGTATTCTGTTAAGCTGGAAGCTAGAGTGCTGGTGTTACACAGCAGTAGAAGGAGAAAGGCTGCGCTTCTATTACTGACTTTTTATCATTAATAACTGCTTTCAGGGCAACGGATATGTCCTTCGAAGTCATTTTGAGTATATTCAGCGTCAGTCCTGCTCCCCGTGACTCTACTCGCTTGGCGTTGTCCATCTGGTCTCCAAATAAAGGCATTAGTACCATTGGCACTGCATTGCATATGCCCTCGTAAACACCATGTGAGCCTCCATGGGTAATAAAGGCACGAGTCTTAGGGTGAGCTGTGGAGGGAAGAAAGACTTGCTTAGCACTTTCATTTGTTAAGTCACAGTAACACATCCCTAGGGAAAAACTTGCACAAAAATGGCATTGGTAGGTATAAATCAAGAACTTTGGGCCATCATGTGCATCATTACTTAGGAACAGACTCAGGGCTGTGGAGAACAGGACATTACAGGGGATTGAATGAACCTTGTGCTGGAGAGCTCTGTCTTGGTTTGGGTAATCTCTGGAAAGCCTTGGGCAATCCTCTAAAGCTTCTCAGATTTTAGGATGAAATCAGAGCCAAGTAAGGTTAAAGATGATGTTACCACTGCTTGCTTTTTACCATGTCTTCCACTTGCTGGTTTTGCAGATCTCCTAGAGCTGAACCCTGTTGTCTAACCAACAAATGCACTCCTGGCAATAGCATATACAATTTTACCACCTGAAAAATCTGACAGCCTGTCTGCAAATGCTCACTCAGGGGCCTTAAATTTTCTTTTCAGTCCAGTAGACAAAACCCCATGGCTGGGTGTTGAGACTGGCTAGTCAGAGATAAAGACCTCCATGTTTGACAGTAAGGGTAGTCAAGTGTTGGAACACCTTTCCAAACAGTGTTGTTTCATAATTCGGCAATTTTTACGTCGCAATCAGGTAAGTTTCTAAATTACAAGCTTTGGTTCAAACAGCAAAGACTGTAAGGAAGTCCTGTGACCCACAGTGATACAGGTTGTCAGCACAGATAATGCTAATGGGGCCTTACAACAGCATTATCAGGTTAAAAAAACCCACTGGTGTCATTCAAGGTGTCTCAGACCTACCTAAAAGATCGTTCTGTGGCAACCATTTGACAAGTTTTACATTCTTCGGCAGGTTGGGGGGCACCTCTCCCGTGTATCGCCACAAAACCTTTCAAGAGAAGTAAACACAATGTCAGTTCTCAGCAACCAGCCTCTTGCTGCTCCTCATCTTAAAAACCATAGCTAAAAACATCCATGGTGCACAAAATCTTTTTTGTTGTGCAGAGCAGCTGGGGTGACAGTTTCTTCTGGCATCAGGGAGCAGGAGAAAGAAGGGAGGGCCAAGCACACTGAAAGCCAAAGGTAATCATATACTGTATTTGAAAACAGTCTTGAATTGCTGTGCTAGAAGGCGGAAGGGGAAACCATACCGTCTGAGGGACTGATCCCAAGGCTTCTGCAATTTCTGTGGCTTTCTTCATAGGAATCTCAGAGACCATGGAGCCCAGCGAGAATACAACAATGCCGTGCTCTCCAGAGGCATTCACAATAGCTTCGAATTCCTGCCCAAGACAAAGCACATCCTTAGTCAAAGTCCCTTCCACATCATGTGCTATAATTTCTATCATGTTGCCACAAAACTATCTGGAAAGGCAATAAAATGAACAGTCAACGCAACAGAATTACAATCAGGAAAATTAGTTATCTATATGAAAATGAGTCCCAGGGGAAAAAAATGGGCACAGGTGGATGAACAAAGTTATGGAAGTGTGTGAGTGTTTGCAGAATTGAAGGCCAAACTAAGATTCAGTATGGACATGAGAAAAAATTTATTTTAAAACAGTCACATAGCAAAGCCTGCCTGCTCAAAGACATTGGTTTCTGCACCGTAAAAAAAGATGCTGTGCCAATTAAAGAGATCAATTCATCATCATACTTTTCCTGACAACCAATCCCCAGGTGAATACGTTGTGGTTTATTTTCACATTTATTGCAAGTGAGATGCTCTGGCTTTAGAGTTGATGCTCTTCTTTTCAAATCATGCAGCTGCAAGAGAGAATTAAGATTTTGAAAACTGTTCTGACAGCAGATAGCTCTAATTTCTAATATCTGGATTTACTGGGTCTACTTTGAGTATGATCATATTGAACCACTGCCAATTTTTTTTATCCGTTTTGTTTTATTTAAATAAAAGAAGGACTAGGAGATCTGCCACTGGAATGCAAGAACAAAAGGATTCCAATGAAGCAGAGAAACAGCTGAAGGCTGCAGCAAAAATCCTGTGACATTGAAAAGTATTCAGTAAAGCCAGGGAAGGAAGAACAAAACTGGGGGGAATTGCTGTGGGCATCAGAGTTAAATGAGTGGAATAAAATGAACTAAATGTTCCTGTAAGTCTGGCAATTGAAATGTTATCTCTAGGGTCTGAGGGGATAACCGAGATTGACCCTCTTAGTTTACAAGCTCTTACGTATTTTTGTGGCTGACCAGAGTGCTGTGGCCCTTCACTTGGACTGGATCCCAAATAGGAGGCACCATCAAAGGTTTGGTGATAGCTGCACTCCGAACAGCAGACCTGATGCTCTCCTGGGGGCAACCAAGGTGAAATGTAACTCTCATTTCAGGGCTTGGTTCTGTCTTACCAGATTTCTCTGAAGACACACTCTCCATTAAGGCATTGTAGATGTCTGGTTGGGAACACGGGGCTCAGTTCTACATAAACTCACAGACATCTGGAAACTGCAAAATCCTCCCCAAACTACAAATGTGCTTTTGGTACAGAATTCTTTGGCAGTTCCTGATGCAGTGGAACAGATATGGCTATTTCAGGGTGTATTTAGCCCTATTTATTTTCTATGGGAGTAGTCACATCAGTTTTACTCTGTTCTTTAAATGTTTTTGTGTGCCAAGGTCTGATTTTCTGCTCAGAAATGCCCCTACCATTATGAAACTTTTTGCAGCCTTGCCTTGGAAATTGGTGGGTTATTTTACTAAAGTCTTTTTAACCAGCAGCTCCTTGTATTGGTGGGTGCTACACATGACCTTTATGAAATACCTGCAGTGGACACTCACTGAAAAATAAGAGAAAGCACAAAGAATTAGAAGGATTTCTTAGTGGCAAGTGGCAGATAACCCATATTTAGGAAGTTTGGCATACTTCAAGCAAAATACAGTTGCAGTCCAGATCTGTGGCAGAGTATTTTGCACAAAAGAAGCAGATCTCTTGCTGCTTGACTGGATGGTGGGGATTGCATTCAGGTCTGCCACTGTCTGAAATTCCTGTAGAAATGGTCCTCTGCTCAAGGGCAGAGGACTAGGATGATTTGGCATGCTACATTACCCTAGCTAGCACCACATCTTGTAAACAGGTATACAGAACAAAATTACTGGAAATAGGCAGCCAGAAAATACTGGGGGGAAGAAATTGGAAAAGCTCAGCTTTGTATGCACGCATCTCTGGGAATCTGGAGGTCTCCCACAAAGCAACGTACTCCTCAATGCACAAAGGATGCAGCGGTGCAAAGTGCCTTCCTAGCCACTTGCACCTCGCTCTTTTGCCTGTTACTGTTACAGCCAGGAGCTCCATCTCATGGTGAGAGCTAACAGTGCAGACATAGCTAAACTAGGGAAAAAAAGGTAACTAACCTGTGATAATGCTTTTTCCTGAGTGCAGCTTATGCCTCCGATCAAGACCATATTAGGCATTAGGGGTCTGGGGTACTCAAACACAAAGTCGTATTTCATGAGCCAGATAGACGCATGGCTGAACAGCTCAGGCACTGTTGCCTCTCGTTGGAGGAATTCTTTGACCAAACTATCATATGATGAATAAAGAAAGCTGCAAGCCAGGGAACTGCTCAGGCTAGCTATGAGATTGCCCACGCGCTGGAGGAACGCCATGCGGTCCGTGTAGTGAGTGAAGAACCTAGGAATGTAAGAAGGGGGATTTGGACAGAGGGTGGCATGGAAATCTAGACTGCATGGCAATCCCCGTACAAGGTACACAGAAGGTAGGGCGAGATGTTCAGCCAGTATCTGTCCACATGGAAAAAAAGGATCCATAAAGACAACATCAAATTTGCTTTCTTCGAGGTATTCAATCAGCTCTTTGTTAGACAGAAGACGTTTGCAGGATTCAAAGAACATGGTTGTAATATTTGCCATTTTTGATAATTTTTCCAAGAAGGGTTGAGGTGTGAAACTCTTATAGCCCAGCTTTTTAAATTCTGCCTCCACATACTCCTTGGTGTAAGGCACAGAGTATGTTTTCATGGTATAATGCACCGATGAATCTATCCGCAAATTGATCTCTGGCGCAACCACCACGATTTCATGTCCCTTCTGTCTGAGCCGCTCCACAACCGGGCGCATGCTGAGCCAGTGGCTGCCATCAATAGGTACAACCAAAACCTTTCCACCTTCAGAAAATGTCCACAGGAGCAGGAAAAACACAACCCAGGAGGCAAGAGTATTAAATCCTGCATTCGAAGAAGCCATTTGCCTTGTGCTGTCAGCAACGTTTTAAACAGCTGCAAAACTATTGCAGGGGACAAGGAGTAAATCGTGGGGTACTTTGCACTTTAATCTTAGCTAAGGTAAAAGTGTTTAATTTTTAACGGACTGTATGTTTGTGGGCAGACATGAGGGTAATTTTTAACTGTGGGTAATGGTTGGGTTTATCTGTGCACACAGTGAAGGCTTTAAGCAACTGGGCACTGCAAGGTAAAGCTGAATGCTTGAATTAACATCAGAGGTTTCAAATGCTCAAGGGAGAAATGTCAAGCAATTGGCCGTGTGTTGCACTGAAAGGCTGAACAGAGTTATGAATGGGAGGTAACACCTGACCAAGCAATCGGTATCTCACTAACATCCAGTTAATGATAAACTCCCTGCCTTGAGTCTGCTCAGCTGATGGGACACAAAACTCAGAACAGAAGTCTGACCTTTAGCTTACCGTGTGTGCTCAGAGTCTAAACAAGAAGCAATGATTGACAGAGATTTGATATACCAGTGGGTTGATAAGGTTTATCTTCAGATTTGTTTCTATATTCTACCAGTTACAAGTGAAAGCCCTAAATCTACAGTAGTAAACATGATGCAAGCTTAGCAATAACTTCTGTTATTGCAACACCACTGCAGTCTGAAAAACAGAATAAATGACTGATCTTTGCACTATTTGCACAGCCCCCTAGGGAGATTTAAACAAGCTAGGGAGGGAGAGTAGATAGTTACAATCCCAAAGGCTTCTTTTTTCTAATCATCCTCTTATATGCTAACTTACATTGCTTCTTACACAAATCCAGAGGCAAAAGAGCACCCTCTACCATCTTTGATTGTATTTGGGGTATTCATCTGCATTATCAATCTCTATGGTGCAACATCAGTGCCTGGGTATATACACAGAGTTAGAATCATAGAATCATAGAATCGTAGAATGTTTAGGGTTGGAAGGGACCCCTAGAGGTCATCTAGTCCAACCCCCCTGCAGTGAGCAGGGACACTGCTAACTAGATCAGGTTGCTCAGAGCCCCATCCAACCTGGCCTTGAATGTTCCCAGGGATGGGGCCTCCACTACCTCTCTGGGCAACCTGTTCCAGTGTTTTACCACCCTCATTGTAAAAAATTTCTTCCTTACCTCTAGCCTGAACCTACCCTGTTCTAGTTTAAAACCATTTCCCCTTGTCCTAACACAGCTGGCCCTACTAAAAAGACGTTCCCCATTAGTTCCCATTAGTTCCACATTTTCATTTTTTGTCCAGTCAGGTCTCCTGCAATTAGTATTCCACAACTGTTAGGGATATTAAATCAAATGACCTAGTTTTATTTTGTTATTTATTCCTTTCACAGAATCACAGAATCATTTGGTTGGAAAAGACCTTTAAGATCAAGTCCCACCACACCTGTCCACCACTAAACCATGCCTCTAAGCACCTCGTCTACCTGTCTTTTAAATACCTCCAGGGATGGAGACTCAACCACTTCCCTGGGTAGCCCGTTCAAGTGCCTGATAACCCTTTTAGTGATGAATTTTTTTCTAATATCCAATCGAAACCTCCTCTGACACAACTTGAGGCCATTTCCTCTTGTCCTATTGCTTGTTACTTGGGAGAAAAGACCAACACCCACCTCACTACAGCCTCCTTTCAGGCAGTTGTAGAGAGCAATAAGGTCTCCCCTCAGCCTCCTCTTCTCCAGGCTCAACAACCCCAGTTCCCTCAGCCACTCCTCATCAGACTTGAGCTCCAGACCCCTCACCAGCTTTGTTGCCCTTCTCTGGACACACTCCAGCACCTCAATGTCCTTCTTGTGGTGAGGGGCCCAAAACTGAACACAGTATTCAAGGTGCAGCCTCACCAGTGCTGAGGACAGGGAAAGGATGACTTCCCTAGTCCTGCTGGTCACACTATTTCTGATACAAGCCCGCATGCCCTTGGCCTTCTTGGCCACCTGGGCACACTGCTGGCTCATATTTAGTCAGCCGTCGACCAGTACCCTATATCCCTCTCTGCCAAGCAGCTTTCCAGCCACTCATCCCCAAGCCTGTAGCATTGCATGGGGTTGTTGTGACCCAAGTGCAGGACCCAGCACTTGGCCTTGTTGATTTATCTAGATATAGCATATGTGCCATGATTGCCTAATATTATGATGTTATGCTTACAACAAGCTAAGCTATACCTAGGCAGCTACCTAGCTTAGACAGCTTCACCTAAGCTCTCCTGGAGCAAAACCCTTCAGCTGCTTGCAGTACAAGTCCTATGATCATCTATCAGAGCCTGAGATTACTATTTCCAAATCATGCCACCCTAGTATTCAATCACATATTGGCTCAAGCACAAATACTACTATATGAAGGACTTAAAAAAGGAAATCTTAAATAATCACTAATAAATGCTATAATACCCTCAACATAAACAATGACAAACCTTTGATAATGGCTTCTTCTGCTCACAGTTGATGCCTCCAATATAGACCATATTTGGCATTATTGGGCACGGATACTCAAAACCAAAGTCATCAGCCAAATGGATGTTTTGCTAAAACAGTTCCAGTACTGTTACTTCTTTGTGAAGAAACTCAGAAGCTAAGTTCTCATATTTTAAATAAAACAGATAGCTAAACAAATGCTCTGAAAAACCAACCAGGAGGTTCTTCACATGCTCTATAAATGTCATGTGATCTGAACTGGACATGAAAGTCGTTGGCACGTAAGAAAAAGGGCTGGAACACTGGTGGCTTTGTAGTCTAAGGTACATGGAAGGCCACTCATGAAGTACGCTGAAGGGAGAGAGATTCAGCAACAGTTGGTCCACAGGGCAACACAGGATCCATCATAATGGCATCAAATTTGCTATCGCGGAGGGATTTCATTAGTTCTTCATCATATAAGAAATGCCAACAAGTAGAAGAGAGCACATTGGTCAGTTCTGACATATTGCTGAGTAAAACTGTAAATTTTTCTAGAAAGGGAGAGTTATCAAAACTTTTTTCACCAATGGAATGGTAGTATCTATCCACAAGCTCCTGTGTGTAAGGCACAGAGTATATTCTGATGGTGAAAGATTGTAAGCTCTTCATGAGCAAAGTGGCTTCAGGAACAACCGCAATGATTTCATGCCCCCTCTCCCAGAGATTCTTCAGAGCCACACGCATGCTCAGCCAGTGACTTCCATCCTGAGGCATGACCAAGAGCTTCCCACCTTCTGCCAAACTCCAGAAAGAAAGAAAAAGA